AGTCTGGGTGACAGAGTGAGACTCCAACTCAAAAAATAAAAAAAAAAAATTTAGATTACAGTCCCAGATTCAGTTTGAATATGAGAACTACTTAATTCAACAAATACTATAATATCTTCTAATAGGAAATATTGAGTAATTCTTAACGTGAGTATTGCTAAATATTGACAATATCATTAGTCTACAAAGCGGAGTAATTCATAAGCCATTTACAGCAGTTTTCCAAATGTATCTGCATTTCCTACATACAGTATTTCCAGAGAGGCATTTAAAGAAAAAGTTCACTTTTAAATCTTACTTCCTTCACCATTTTAGTTTTGCTTTTAAGTGATTGTCACCATTTGCACTTGAATGTGAAAACCTTAAAACAAACAAAGCAAAGCAAATGTAAGTCTTTTGTACATATATCTATTTTAATAGAAATAGTAGTAACTATTTTTTTTTTTTTTTTGAGTTGAAGTCTCGCTCTGTCGCCCAGACTGGAGTGCAGCCGCACGCTCCCGACCACTGCAACCTTGACCTGCTGGGCTCCGGCGATCCTTCCGCTCAGCCTTCCAAGTAGCTGGAAGTACAGGCGCGCGCTACCATGCCTGGCTAAAATACTGGTCTTTAATATGTACTTGGACATGTGCTGTGGGTCACTCCAAACAGCTATGTTCAACTACAGCTTTTCTTTTTCAGCATTTCGTGATCTGTTCCCTTTAGAATGCCGTTAGGAAACTCTGGGAAGGAAAGGCCTATAGAGGCATGTTCATAGTTTTTTAAGACTGTATAAAGAAATTAATTTCTCATCAGCCAAGTACTGGGTTACAATCAGTACTCAGAGATGAGTGGTGGAGAAAGCGACGGTTAAAGAACTCTAGTGCTTTGACCAATGTCAGAGAGTGAAACTAGGAAGAGGAAGAATGTGATTCAGGAGTGTCCACTGATAGAAATATGACCTGGGGGTGGTGGCTTGGGAGTGTCAGGCAACCTAGGGAAGTGAGGGTTTCTGAGGATGCCAGATTCAGTTAAGAAGTGTGAAACTGGCCGGGCTTGGTGGCTCAGCCTGTAATCCCAGCACTTTGGGAGGCTAAGGTGAGTGGATTGCCTGAGTCCCTGGGTTCGAGACCCGCCTGGGCAACTTGGCGAGCCCTCATCTCTACAATAAATCAAAAATTAGCTGGGCGTGGTAGCACGCGCCTGTAGTTCCAGC